TGTATTTTTTATATATAAGTAAATATTTATAATTATTATTAATTAAATATATTTTTTATTTTATTATATTTATATTAAAATATGTATGTAAAAGAAATATTTAATCATTTTATATATATATATATATATATATATATATATATATATTAATATTTATAACATTATTATTATTATAACTATGTATTCAAATATTTGAATACTTATAACATTATTACCTGTATTCAAACATTTGATTACATATATCAGTTAATTCATTTTTAAGTTGTCGTTTAAAAATATAAAATATATTGTTTATAAAGAAATATTTAATAATTTAATTTTTATTTAATTAGTTCAAAGTAATAAAATTTTAAATTATCAATTCCTTTTAATCCTTTAAAATACAATTATTTTATTAAGATAAAATTTGATATATGATAAATAAGAATAATAAGATAAAAAAATTTGACATAATAAAACCTAATAAATATAAATTATAAATAAAATAATATTAGTTACTACTAAGATATATGTAAAATATTTAGAAAAAGATAAAGAAAAAAAAACTTTGTGTTCATCAAATTGGTTGAAAAGATTGAAAAAAAAATTGATGAGAGAGATTAAGGAAATATGAACAACTGAAAGGTAAGAGAGAATAATGTAATAAATTTATTGATATAAAAGATTAAAAAAGACAAAAAATTAAAAAGTGGTAGAAGAAAAATAAAAATGATGAAATATAAAAAAAATGACCTTACATGTAATAGAAAAAAAAAGGAAATATTTTTAAAATATTAATATTTTAAAATTTAAATTTAAATATAAATTCGAGTTTGGGACGAGGTCGGGGTCGGGGTGGAGATTGTATTACCCATCTTCGCCTCCTCCTCGCCTTCGTCCTCGACTTTTTAAAGTGGAAAAATCCAAACCTGCTCCCACCCCCGATCAACTCGGGTTTTTCCCGTCAAACTCGAGACGGGGACAGGTCGATTCTCACGAGTACGGGTTTAATTGTCATCACTGAGTAAGACTATAACACAAATACTATATCGTTGATTTATATTGAAAGAAAGTTCCTCCAAAACCAATCATGGTAAAGATAACGAGAAAAATATTAAGTATAGTTTTCTTTCTTAATATCATGAGAAATACTATTCTCAAACGAAGAGAGGATTTATTCTCCATAGAAAAGTTCAACCTGATGAATGAGAATTTAAAGTTTTATGAGAAAAGTTCATTTAATGTTTCAACTACTAAGCAGACAAATATGATCATTAATAAACATATAAGATTTTCATGTATTATGGTTTGAACTTATGGACCTTTTGAATATTTTTAACTTCGTAATAAATATTCTATTAGCCTTTATCATCTTTGATAAATAAATTAAAAATACTATAATTAATCATAACCAATTCACCGTTCACTACATCACAATAATAAATAAAATATTAGTTTTAATTAATTTAATGTTGTTTTGAAAAATGTCCTATAATAAAAACAAAAGTTTCTTTTAGCGTAACACAGACTTAAAAATATTTTTGCAATCACATGCTGATGTCCTACAACTTAAATTACATCATAACATAAACCCCAAATTCAAAATCCTACATTTTATTTTTCATAGTCTTAAGTCTCCGACATAAACTATTCATGTTCCTTAATACAAGTCTTACATAGACGGATATAATGTCAACATTATATATATATATATATGCAAATTAAGAAAAAATAACATTTGTTATCAATGTATTAAAATAAAGAATGAGATAATTGTGATAATTGAATAGTTTACATATTAATAGACTTGATGACAAATTGAGAAACAGTGTTTATTGATTCATAAGTTATTTTGATTAGATGGTAAAACTGGTCAGTTTGTTTTATTTTGTTCTACTTTATTTACGGTTCGGTCAAAAATAGAATAGGATGGACTTACCCATCATAGTCGGGACAGAGTTATAGACTCCAACTCATCTCAATAATAATTTTTTTATATGTATTTTTTTAAAATATATCTTTAATTATATAAATAATTTTTAATTTATTAATTAATATTTTTATTAGATAAATTGAATAAATATTATATTTTTATGTTAAAATAACTAATTATAATCAATAATTTAAATTTAATTAATTAATTTTTATAATTTAAATTATAATATTATAATATATTTACATATTTTAATAACATAACATAAAAATATAATATTTTTAATTATAATCATTTTTATTTTTATTTTAGTATATAAATATTACTTTTATAATGGACTAACGAACCAATTTATCTAACTCCACCTTTAGTCCGCCGAGAATTAACAAACGAGTAGATTAAACGAACTTATGAACTAAAATCACCAACTTATCTTATTATTATTATTATTATTATTATTATTATTATTATTATTATTATTATTATTATTATTATTATTATTATTTTTAGGTTTAATTCGTTTTGTGATTCTTAATTTTGATATTATTATTATGTGATAATAATAGAGACTAAAATAATTATACAGCAACAAAATACCAATGTAAAATTATATGGAATATACCTCTCATAAGGTATAAGACCTTTATCGAGTCCATGGAACAAACTACTTGTCCTTCGACTAAGAATGAAGACAATGGGCTTAGCTGTTATGAAACTTGATGAATGAAGTTTTATAGTCTTAAGAGTGTTTAAGTAACTTCTAATTATGTGTCATACTCAAATCACTTAAAGACATTTTATATAAAGCATAAAATAATGTAAAGCTCCTAACAACACAAAACCTAGTTTTTTCTAATATCTTATACTTTAAAAAAATTGTGTTTTTTCCAATAAGATAATAAGTTTATTCTACTTGTCTTATTTATAAATCGACCTCATTCTTTTTCTTACTATTTTGTTCTCATATATTATGAATTTAATCCTAACAGAAACTAATTTATCTTTTTTCTTTTCACATACTATGTATGAGACTTATAGATTTTTATAACAATGAATCTTAATATTAAATATTTAGTACATAAACCAACAATTATTATTAAAAATATCTTTAACTATTAGTCCAAGTGATTTCCAATATAAAATTTTTAGGCGTTACTAAACTCTAGGTTGTGTTTTCAGTATCTCCCAAGTTCCTGATTGTTGTACCCCCACATTCCTTGTGCACAAACTGGAAGTGAAAATTTATGCATTTGGGCACTTAAATTTCTTTCTGTTCAGATTCGTAAAAGAACAGTAACGTGAGTTTAGGAATTATTTTCTTTGAATTACATATTGAGATGAAGTCTTATTTTATTTCAGGGGTTCCTAAGAAACGTTTCAATAATAATGTTGCAAATAATGGAGTTGGTGTAGGATTTGCACGTATCGTGTTCTCCTCTTTTAATGATGCACTTGCAAGATGGGGTTGAGAATTCAAGTCACTTGAGTAGAAATGGGAGATACTCACAACATGTGATCCTCACAAAAAGTATTTAATTTGGATGCTTAATGTGACTTTATCAGGCTGAAGTTAACCATTACGCCAATTACAAGGATGCATACACCAATTATTATACACCAATTATTATCTTGTTCTATTACCTATTTTTAGTTATTTTGAAGGGATTCATAAGAAAAATAATATTAATAAAATATAAACTCAACTTACGTAAATATTCACATTATTTTTAATTCAAAATTTTAAAATATTAGATTGTGAATTTTTTTTTAATATTTCTCAATTTTCTTACTTTTTACCTTTTACTTAATATAATTCTTAACTCATTTGGATTATCCAATTTTATTTTATATATATATATATATATATATATATATATATATTTTTTTTTTTTCAGAACAAGATATGAACTTATTTTTCCTATGTTCTTATGTTCAACTTCATCTTTATCTGATGCCCGTGGCATGACTTCATGTTATCAAGGGAGATATGTTGATCCTACTATGATTTCTCAGTGTATTTCTATAAGCTCAGGATTTTTTTTCATACTATGTGTCAAAGATAGAGTACTGAAATCCTTTAAAAAAAATAAAAAATCAACAAGAATAATGCAAATAAAAGAAAAAAGATATGATTTTGGTGTTTGTAGTTTTTTTAAAACTTGTTCTTGATTCTTGTATTTTTCAAATTGATGAATTTAGTTTTTGAATTTGTAAAAATATATTATTTTAGTCGTGATGAATGTGAAATATAAAGATTATTTTTAAGAATATTGAAAAAAAAAAAAACATAGACTAATCCTTCAACCTTCCAAGGTAGTAATGGATTAAAATTCTTAAATATAAATTTCAGTTTTTTACCAAGTATCATATGTGAAAGAGTTCACTAATTATATTAATATTTATATTTTAATTAAAATTTTATCCTTGGTATAAAAATATTTTAATACGCGAATTATACTTTACTTCAACGATCTCTTTTATACCATAAAGAGGCTCTTCCCTTTGAAGAAGGATTTATTTCCAATTCCAAATTCTTCCCAAGTCCACTCTTTGGAAAATGACATGATCTTAACTCCCATTGTTTTTAAATTTTTAAAATATGTTATTTAAAATAAATTATTTATATGTCAATTGCAAATTTATAAAATCAGTTTTCCTTTCCATCTACAAATTTTTTTAAACTTTAGTTACAACTAAGTATGAAAATTGTCTTGCATTTTACCTTTTTGTTAATTAGATAAATTTTAATTTTATTTTAAGTCAAGATGATCTATACAATGTATAATATATTTGCTAGTTTAGATATTAAAAGAAAAGAACTCAAATTTATATTTTAATTTAACTTTTACTTCATGCCTATATTAAACTATTTTGTCTGTGAATAAAATATATTATTGACTCAATCAATAACTAAAGAGCCTCTCTTTTTATGTAAGTTTATATGTATATATAGTATATATTAAAGAGTGATATCATCACTCTAAATATATGTATGGCCATCTTCTCACACAGGCATATTTGTGTATCTCCTCATTTCTTTCATTTTTTGAGTTGAGGAAACCCTTTTATTCTTACTCTCTTCCTCATTATGCACATTTCTTTGCAACTCACACTTCTCTTTGCACTTTCAAGTCTTGCAATTCTCCCCAACCCAAGAGTCACTGCCATTCAAGGTATGAGCGTGTTGCCATCATTCTGTAGAAATGATCTAAGAACCAAAATAAAAATTATTTATTTTACTGAAACTAAAAAAGATTAGATCTTTTCAACAATGAAGATATTGGGTATAAATGCAGAGGGAGAGGAAGAGGGAATGGATTTGAGTGAACTGAGAAAAACAGTGGAGGAGGTTGAAGTGGTGGATGGTCACTCGCACAACATAGTTGCGCTTGACTCAAACTCCATCTCCAATGGCTTTGCCCAGGCCTTTACTGTGGGAGCCTTTGGTGATCCTGATGCCATTGCTTTTGCACAAACCTCTCTATCCTTCAAGGTTCGTTGCTTTTTCAATCACTCTTTACTCTCTAACTTTTTCCACCATCTACGCATATATACATACATAAATAAATTAATTCATTGAATCGGAAATAACTTTTTAATAAATTGGAAATTATTTTTAAAATAATAACGTTAGGATAAAAGAAGTTGTTAAACTTATATTTATATTTACTTTTTTTTATATATATAAAAAATTGAGTAGGAATGATGAATATGACAATGTGATTTATTTGTGTTTGGATAAAGTGTTTTTGTAATTTTTAGAAAATTTAAATATACTGAATTTTTTTTCATTTTAAATTATTTATTTGGATAAAGTAATTCAAATTTATTGAATTAAAATTTTTTGTTTCTATAAAATATTTCTTTTATGTTAAATATAAAAATTATCATTATCAAAATTTGTGAAAATTGAGAATGTTAGATCAAGATGGATTAATAGATTGGATGAATTAGTAATGTATGTTTAGATAAGTTGAATCAAGATAAATCGAATTATGTCACCTTGAGGTAGTCAAGGTGGACTAGGTTGGGTCATAACCGAATAAGATCATATCGAAAATAGTCATGTTAGGATGATTTGAATATGATTATAATGTATCAAATTAATACGAATAAAGTTAAGATGACTCGAGTCAAATCAAGTTAGGTCATACTTATTTGGGTTAAGTTGGGTGACCTATATTGAGATAGATAAATTGAAAATATTTCAATCTATGCCAAAAAAAAAAAATTTAAAGGAAAAAGAAGAGAAAATTTTAAATTCTTATATTTTCTGTGGAATTTAAAATAATCAAAATATCATTATCAGTTTTTGAAATTTTAATTATTTTTTAAATTTTCTATCCAAACAACATTCTTATGTTAAATACTAGAATGTATTATTCTCTGTAAATTTCCTATCCAAGATAAAAGTTTTATTCAAACATTTTTATTACGAAAGATAATCTAAAATGTTTCTTCCGTTATTTTTTCTTTCTTATAAAGCTGTCCTCAATTTTCAACTCAATAAATATCTCAATTATTTGTCTTCATAAGCATATCCTTTTGAGATTTTTATTTTGTCTCTTCAATAAAAATTAAAGCAATATTTTCTCTCCTTTACATTTGCATGATTTTATTTTGTGTTTGGTAAAACTGTCAATATTTTCTGGGTGGAATCTCATTTATGCATGTGTATTATGTAATAATATCAGAGAGGTTTGAGAGATGTTGCTGAGCTATACGGAACCGAGGTGTCTTTGGAAGGTGTAGAAGAATACCGTAGAGTGTCTGGACTAGAAGCCATCACCTCAACATGCTTCAAAGCAGCAAAAGTCTCTGCCATACTAATAGATGATGGCATAGAAATGGACAAAAAGAATGAAATAGAATGGCACAAGACTTTTGCACCTTTTGTTGGCAGAATCTTAAGAACTGAACGAGTGGCTGAGCAAATCCTTGAACAAGTGAGATATTTTTTATTGCATCCTTCTGTTTCCAATTATATTCATATTCTGCCTTCAGCCATTCACATGTTTTTCCCTCAAGGGTTTGTCTAATGGATCTTCATGGACAATCGATTCATTTACTGAAGCATATGTCTCAAAGTTGAAATCATATCCTTTAATTTACATGTCTCTTTACACACACCAACACAAAATAGCTTAAGAAAGATCAATGTTTAGCTGGGTTCCTTAGCATCACTGTTACAGTTGCTAAAGAGATCTATGCTTTGAAAAGCATAGTTGCATATTACGGTGGCCTAGAAATCAATTTAAATGTGACTAAAACTGATGCAGAGGAGAGTCTGAGACAGGTGTTAATAAATGGTGAGTTTGAACTTTGGTTTTAATACCATCTTTTTCAGGTTATTATTTCTCACCTTCTGTATTTTCAGCTACGAAGCCTATCTATATACTGTATCACAGGAATCTTGTTGACTACCTCTTCTTGCAAAGTTTGGAATTTGCTCTATCTTATGACTTGCCAATGCAGATACACACAGGGTAATTGATGGATTTAATTGTTTTGAACTTTTACCATATTGATATCCAAACATTTTTATTGAAATTTATGATTACAGCTTTGTATGAAATTAATGTGTTTGGTTTAAGATAGGAAAATGAAACTTTTGCATTGAAGTTACAAATTTACTCTAAATTTTACATCAAACTTGTTTTCAAAATAAACAACATTTACCTATTCAGGCATTAGGAACTCTAGTTTAACATCAATCTCCAAATACACATTTTGTGCCTTGACTACTTCTTGGAATCAGTTACCATATATATCTCCTTCAAAATTTAGTTGGTTTTCCTTTTTTAGCTGTCAAAGGACACACCATAACCAGTTATTATATCTGATTTTACCTGTTTTACACTAAACTTTTCTTTTTGCAACTAGCTTTGGAGATAGACTTTTAGATTTGAGGAAGTCCAATCCTCTTCATTTCCGTTCAGTTCTTGAGGACAAGAGATATGCAAAGTGTCGGTTTGTTTTTCTACATGCATCTCATCCATTCTCAAAGGATGCATCATATCTAGCTTCTATTTACTCTCAGGCAAGAATTTTATGATTGATGGCTTCATGCATTGACTTGTATCAGTAGATTAAAATTTCAACTAACACCATTTTATCCCTCAGGTTTACCTCGATTTTGGGCTGGCAATTCCAAAGCTTAGTACTCCTGGGATGATTTCAGCGCTTAAAGATCTACTAAATCTGGCTCCACTAAAGAAGGTGACAATATAAGCAATTCAAATAGTTGTTGACTGAGAATAGAGTTTGCAGATAAACGTACCAAATAAAAACTAGAAGAAAAAATATTCATGTGTTATATATGTAACTAATATTAGAAGTTCACAGAATTTCCCCTGCTCCATCCTCTCATAAAAAAATAAGTCCACTGATTGTTGAGATTGAAGTTTAAATCAGAATAAGTCATGCATAGAATTTGAACTCTCTAATCTCCATCCAACTTGATAATGGCAAGTCTCAAAATGCATGTCTGATTTTGAAAGTTCCTTGCTTCTTATTTTCAGTAGAAGGGTACAGAATGTATATGAAAATATGAAATGTACTGCAATATCAAATGCAGTTGTTTTAAAGTTTGTTACCCTTGATCATAAAATGAAGTTTCTGATTGGTCAAATGAACATGAAATTGAGACATAATATCTCACAAGAACAAATTTTGCACTACAGGTGATGTTCAGCAGTGACGGCCATACATTTCCTGAAAGCTTCTACATAGGTTGGTTAACATCAACTATTGCACCCAAATTTGAAGATTATGCTTAAGTGCTTGGCAGTGATTGTTTCAATTTCAAATGGCTTTCATGTACTATGTTGTCTTTCCTAAACTTTACCTGCATACACCAATGCTAAAATCTCCAAGGAATATGCAAAATGCTAAGTCATATTATAATATCAACTTTGTAAGTTCGTAACTTAGAGACCAAGCACTTAGCACCGAGTCTAGAATCTACAGAACTATTTCTGGAAATTCTTTCATGAAAAATCAGTGCAACTAATACACTTAAAAAGTTTCCACCTCTTTATTCATTTAAGGTGAGATGATTACAAGTTGAAATCATAAGTTTTGGTTTCACAGGTGCAAAGAATTCCCGGGAAGTTGTTTTCTCTGTTCTACGTGATGCATGCATTGATGGTGATCTCTTAATTCCTGAGGCTGTGGAAGCTGCAAAAGACTTGTTTGCAAGAAATTCAATCCGCTTCTACAAGATTAGTTCTGCCAACATCACTGCCCCTTAGTCAAGGAATCACGAAACACTTCAATAAAGTAACCATGTTACGTAATCGAATGTGCATGTATTCATGTTGAGCACTTCCAATGTTTCTAGCCGTTAATGCATTGTTCAACAGCATAAAAATTAAGCAAATTGTTTCATTATTATCTGCAGAATGATTTATACTCTGACTATAAATTAAACAATCATATATATGATGTCTAACACTGAGTAGGGTTCTTAAAAAATAATTGAAATGTGTATTGAATTCATATCGAACTGCATTATCTTAACTAAAATACCTTCTTTCCTTTGAACTGAATTGTTTCTTGGTTTAATTTTTAGAAATTGATGTACTGGTAAATTGAACTTCTAAAATGAACTATACTCATGATATAAATAAAGCATAAACATTAAAATTCAATTATAGTAAAAGATTTCAACATTAAGATTACAAGATTGTAATGTGAGAAAAAAAAAATATTTCACATAAGAGAAATCTTAGTTGGGTGCTTATCTTTCTTATTATAAAAGGAGTATAGTGCTTACCTTGTAAAACACATCAAAATTATTTTTTTTTTCTTTCTTTTGTTGCTTTAGTACTTGAGAGATAAATTAAGAGAGAAAAATAATTTCTTCTTTTAGGTTTTCTTAGAGTTGTTTTTCTTTTATTTTCAGGAGAGGGTGTTATTGTTTTCTCTTTGGAAGTAAAGAGAGAATGATTGTAATTTTTTTATTAGTAGAATTATTCTTTTGCCTATTGTCGGTGTTTTTCTCATCTTTTTATTTTAGTTGTGTGTGTTTTTACTGCATAGTCATTAGAATAGTGTTGGAGAAAATTCAGCCACTAGGTTGTGATATTGGTTTTTTGTTGCATAGTATAGTCATTAGAATAGTATTGGAGAAAATTCTTAGTATGCTCTGTGGTTGCGGTTAATTTGATCTTCCACATCAGAAAAAAGTTATTCTTATTACTAGATATTATTTGATAGTGTGATAGTGCATGTCTAGGAAATGTTCTGGCAAGGAAAGACTTGGTATTTAAACGTGTCCATTAGTGACTCACCTCTTGGGAACTTACCTGGTGTACTGGTTCACGGCCTACTGTTGTTGTTTCAGTAGGCAATACTATTTATAGTGAGGATTGCATAAGTCGGTTTGGAACCATGACAACAAAATATGAGATAGAGAAGTTCAATGTGAGTAATTTCATTGTGAAAATTTAAGATAAAGACAATTTTGAAGAAGGACAATTGTATTGATGCAATTAAGAAAGAACCGTGAAACACACGAATGAACAACGATGGAAAGAAATGAACAACAATGCTATTGCGAATTTGCACTTATCAATGACAGATTCGATTTTATCTAGTGTTAAGGATAAAACTACTGCGAAGGAGATTTGAGATACCCTCATTAAACTATGAGGTGAAGTCACTTCATACAAGAATATTCTTGAAGAGAAAACTCTATACTCTTTGGATGAGTGAGTCCACATCAATGACGGACCACATCAACCATTTGAATATCTTGTTTGCCCAACTATCAGCGACAGATTTCAACATAGTTGAAAATGAGCGTGCAGAGTTTCTACTTTAGAGTTTGCGTGATTCGTATGATCAACTCATTATCAATATTACAAATAATAATATTGATGGGAATATGCAATTTGAGGATGTTGTCGGAGCTATTCTTGAAGAAGAATCCAGACGGATGAGTAAGAACAAAAGTTTCAAACAAGCAGAGGCTTTGACAATGATGAGAGGAAGATCAACAGAATGTGGCTCGAGTAATGATAGATCGAGGTCTTGAAGTAAGAAAAGTTCTAAAATCAAATGCTACTTTTGTGACAAGAAAGGACATACAAGAAAAGAGTGTTGGAAGATGAAGAATGGAGGCAACAACTCTGAAGAATCAACCTCACAAGGTTGTGTTGTAAGTACCTCGAAATATGGAGATATTCTGGTGAGTGAAATAGTAATTAGCTCTAATAGTGAAAAGGACTTTCATGACAAGTGGATGGTGGATTCAGGTGTAACATGGCACATAACTCCGCACCAAGATTAGTTTCACACTTATGAACTATTCTCAGGTGGATCTGTCTTCATAGAAAACAACCATGCATTGGAGATTACTGGAGTTGGTACCATCAAAATTAAAATGTATGATGGTATTGTTCGCAAATTCAAGAGGTACGACATGAAGGACTTGAAGAAGAATCTATTGTCCATTGGGCAATTAGATGACCTCGGTTGTAAGATTCATGTTGAAAGTGAAATCTTGAAGGTGAAGGTGGTGAAGGGGAGTTTGGTGGTCATGAAGGCAAAGAAGATCATGACAAATTTGTATGTACTGCTTGGAGATACGTTGCAAGAAACGGGTGCATCAGTTGCGGCAACAAGTCAGGAAGATGCTATGACCATGTGACATCATAGACTTGGTCATATGTCAGAAACTGGTCTGAAAATCCTTGCAGAACGTAATCTCTTACCCTAGCTTAAAAATGTTAGTTTACCCTTCTGTGAGCACTGTGTGATAAGTAAACAACATAGATTGAAGTTTACAATACCTCATTTATTCATTTTATGTATATAATGATAAATTTTATATTTTTTTCATAATTAATTTTTAAAAGTTTGTAACTATTCTCAGTAATATATTGTTCATTTTTCTTTGTTCATATATAACTAAATTGTTTTTATAATAATTTTGTAGGCAATTATGCATAAATAAAATATACAAGCACATAAGTCTTAGGTATTTGGATTTCCACATCTCTCATGAATTTATTCCTACCTTTTCCTTTTCCACATGAGAATTTATAGGCTTTACATAATCTCTGGATCCAAAAGATTTCCTTCTTAACACAATTCTTACATTTTGAGCTTGGACAAGGAATGAGACTTAAGGCATCATCAATTGTTGCCTCTCTTTTAGCAATCTTAATGAGATCATCATAAACTTGATTCTTAAAATTTTCAATTACTCACACAGTACATGTTAGATATTAAACAAAAACATAATGACACACAACTAAAATAAAAGGATGATAAAAATACTGACAATAGACAAAAGAGTAATTCCACTAATGAAAGAAATTACAACCCTTCTCTCTCTACCTCCAAGGTGGAAACAATAACATCCTCTCTTGAAAATAAAGGAAAAACAACTCTAAGATAATCTAAAAGAAGAAACTATTTTTCTCTCTTAATTTATCTCTAAAGTACTAAAGCAACAAGAGAAACTAAGATTTCCCTGATGTGAGATTTTTATTCTCATAATCTCCCACTTTAATATTTTTATTAAATTAATCAAATCTTCACATCATGCTTGCTTTATACTTATTATCTATGTTGCTTATTTTTTTCGCTAGGTCATAGTAGGATCGACTCCATACAAACTTATCAACACTAACGACTTTGTCATAACATCTGCTAGATTCTCATTCTGTGTGAATCTTTTGCATATCCACACTACCCTCTTCCACTACTTCTCGAACAAAATGATATTTTATTCCTATGTTCTTTTTCATGGAATGAAAGGTTGAATTCCTTGCAATGTGTAAGGCACTCTAACTGTCACAATACACAATAATTTGTTGTTGCTTATGCCCGAGTCCTCCATTATCTTCCTAATCTAAATAGTTTCCTTACATGCTTGGGTGGTTGCCATGTATTCAGCTTCTGTGGTAGACAGAGCTACAACATCCTATAACTTGGATAACCAACTTATTGCCTCTCCTGCAACTGTAGACACATAACCAGTAATAGATCTCCTTTTATCCAGATCACCTGCAAAATCTGAATCAACGTATCCTCTGACAATTAGTTCTGATCCTCCATAACATAATGCAACACCTTCCTTTGATGTATCTAAGGATCCTCTTTATAGCACTCCAATGCTCTCCACTAGAATTTCCCATAAATCTATTAACTACTCCCATTACTTGTGCAAATTCTGATCTTGTACAAATCATGACATATATAAGACTTCTCACTGCTGATGCATATGGTACTCGAGACATTCTCATCCTCTCTGCTTCATTACTGGGACTCATACTTGAGGATAACTTACAATTGATAGGAAGTGCGGTGGAAATTAATTTGCAATCTTGTATGTTGAAGCGCTACAAGATTTTCAGTAAGTAATTCTTTTGAGAAAGCCAAACCTTTCTATTTTTTCTGCCTCTGTGAATTTGCATCCCTAAAATCTTATTTGTTGGTCGTAAGTCCTTCATGTCAAACTCCTTAGTCAATTGTGCCTTTAACTCTTGGATTTGATCTATGTTGGGGCCTACCACCAACATGTCATCCACATACAATAACAAGATAACAAAATCATTATCACTTGTTTAGATATTGTTTAGATATTATTTGATATTGTTAGGCTTCTATTCATATATTACAAGCTTTTGTACAACAGATGAAAGAAATAAATGACAAGCCTCCTATGGCTACGGTGGGTCTGATTGCGAAGCTGAAGATGGCTCTAGAGGAGGGAACTGCCGGAGCATATGCCTTTGGAACTCTTTTTGGCTTCGGATCATGCCAAGAACGTGCTGGATGATCACCTCCAAGTTCTAGATGACTCCCTCCTGCCTCTGGCTAACAGTCTCCAGTCGTAGCTCAAAAGTGTCCTGCCTCAAGGACATCTGGTCCAGCTGCTGGCAGAGGACCTGGGACTCAGCGTCTATATGCTGGTGGACGCTGGCGATCTCATCCCCATACTACTGCTGCTCGAATCCTAGGGGCATAGGGATGTCGTCTGACTCATCTAGGTCCCTAATATCAAGGGCCTGGCGAGCGCTAGGTGCAGTACCAACTTGGACCCTTGCCTGACAAGCATGCCTATGTTGACGATCAACCCACTAATAGGCTCGGGTCGGAGGGTAGAAGGTATGTCCTCCCCATTGGCGCATCCTCATCTCTCGGCTAGCGGGGTGATGAGGGGAGCCATTAGGATGGCCCCCGCAGGACGGCTCCCAAAATCCTTCAGCGCCCTCAAGAAGAAGTAGCCTGGATTGCA